CGACGGCAAGCCGCCATCGTCATTCTAAATACACGGTGCGCTGGGAAGTCGTAAGTTTGCAGTATACCATAAAGGACTGTCAGGCTTTGGATAGCCCCTTTCGTATTTGCAAGTTTCTCAATGGGAATCGTCCACGTTTTTTTCTGAGCTGCGACGCCATCTGTCAGACCATTGACCCTCTCGCTGCCGTTAATGTAGACTGCCCATCTTCCAAGACCGTTCCATTCTGAGCGTGGGGAGCAATGCGGTCGTTTCAGTTTTCAACTTGTCCACTTTTGGACCAGCCCGTCGTCGTCAAAGTAAAATCCCATTTTCTGCTAGCAGAAAATTGGGTTTTATGAAAAGGGGTGGTGCAAACTTAAAAAACCCCGAAACTCTACTGGCAGAAAATGGGGTTGACCTCTTTTGGGGCATCAAATAAAATTTGCTAGTGGGAATTTGAAGTTTTTAGTTGTCCACTTTTGACACTCCACGAGAGTTGTTAAAGTAAAATCCAAATTTTTGCAGGCGGAAAATTGCGTTTTTGAAAATGTTATACGTAAAGTCCCAAATCCCAAAAATCTACTAGTAGAAAGTGAGAAAATGGGGTTGTCCACTTTTGACGCTCCATAATTATGGTCCACATCGCCCTCATAGGACTAATTGTAGACAGTCTTTGCCAGGTCTGCTAAAGGCAAAGGCACCCGACTATTGTCATCTTTTGACCTACAGCCTTTGTGTGGTGGAATTACAGTGAATACATATAGTTGCCTGCACTGTAGATTGGAAAGATTGCTTAATAAATGTACAAACCAGGCTGTTTTCATTATGGAAACATAAGAGATAATATGAAATTGAGCAATAAAAGATTTGGAACGTTTGGCGTTTACTATAAGAAATCATTTAACGCTATCGGAAAATAGACTGAAACGAGTGCCCTGCATAACGGAATGGCCAGGCCGCTTTTGTACTCATAGATGTTTAGTTTAGGAGGTACTGCTAAATTCTCACATCTTGTACAATGAAGGGGCTTTTAAGGCAAGGTTGTTTTTTTTAGCTAAACACATAATTTGGAGACTGTAATTACTCAACCCACTCAAGTTTGTGTAGGATGAGTCACGTACTCAACTATTGATGCCAATTTTGAGCGTGTGGATTAAATATTTGCACCAGGAAATGGAACCCGATGATAATCATTCACGATGTTTATCTGCTTGGTTAAAACTTCACTGTTATAAGTTACAATATCATTCATATCTCCTTTGAAACGCTTTCAAACAGTTGCTGTATACTTAGTTTTACTGATGTGATTGAGGAACAAACCTTCACTGGAGAAATGGTGTAGAATGTTTCCGTGCGTATTGAGTTTAATACTTGCAAAAGAGAATTCATTTAATTTAAACTCTTGAAGTTTTTGAAGGAGTGATCACAACGAAGTGAAACTTGTTTTCATTTTTCCCCTTACATGGACATGATTCCCTTTTTCTTTCACGATTAAGTTTTTTGCCAAACCCCGGACATTTGAAATAGTTGTGATTCACTATAGAGTGCGCCACCAAAGAGTTGCCTTTTCCCGTTTTCGGTCGACATAAACATGGCCGACTTGCTCTAATTTGCATTTAGCGTGTGTTAACCGATAGCACTGATATAGTGCTGATCGTGAAGAGGGAATCTTCGAGTGGTAGTCGTGGATCACAGCCATATCCACCTCTGCGCTCAAGTAATTCTGTGCAAAGATTTTTGAGTCTACTACACGTGGAAATTTTGATGAAAAAACAAAGAAACTCCTATGACATACAATAACGTGCATTTTCTGTCAATCGCAGACCACCATTGTGAATGATACCAAGTCAGCACAGTTTGTGGAAGGGTTAAGTGTGATGGTGAACACGCAGACAGCCGTTGGCGCTGTCTTCGCGAATACGCTCCTGAAGCTGGATATCACCATACCATTGATATAAGAATTATCCATTGTGATGATGTATTACAAGGGATATTGAGGCAAAATTGACCTTCTTGACAGCTCCAACAATTATTTATATCGTGGTGAATGTTTTTATATGGGTATCTAAATGGAATGACATTGGACAGATAAAATGGCTTTGACTTGCTAATAATAACAACACGATCAAGGTTTTTTCTCTTGAAGAATAAAAGATACATCACTTTTAAGGTTTTTTTTAGAGTTTAATAAGGCCCTTGACAAATGTCAAACTTGGTTGTTCATACAAAGCCAATAATTTAATACAGTGCAAAGTTAATGCAAAACCAAAATGCTTATTTCATAATTTATTATATAATTAAGATGCACATCCTTACAATTTCAAATCTTTTATCTTCAATTTAACTATCATGGGAATTTGACATCATAAAATACAGGCTTTTTTAGTCAAAACAAAGCACAGGTAGCCTTAAATGAATGTTTCAGATACAAACGAATTAACTATACACTGGTTATAAATCCAATTTTGCTCGTCTGTTTTCATTTTTTGTTGTGTTTTTAAAATCACAACCTTTGCTGGCATTTACACAAGGAAATCATCACCTTGATAAAATATTCACGGACGTGTTTGATTACAAAACACACCACGGACACAAATAAGATCAGAAATTCACATCACAGCAAAATTACACATCGGAACTCATCACTCGAATAAAAGTTCTTGTTGCTCCCTTTAATTTGATGCCATATTTGAGAGTGCGTTATTTATATTTCTGAATGTATAAACCCTTGCTATTTTGGAGATGAATTACCCTCTCCTGGAATTGTCCTTGCGTATTCATGACACGGATGTTTATCGCCTTCTCGGACGGTCTCAGACATCACACTAAGCAAAATATCTCTTTTGGGTAGGGGCCATAGTGAATTTAAGCGACACAATCTGCATGATGTGACTTCACGAATGAACCTTCAGCGAGAGCCTTTTTAAGCAAAAAGAATAAATTGTTGCCGACCAAAGACATTAAATGATTTCTGTGTCAGGGAGCTAAAGCCTGGACCAGTGACTTCCAGAAAACTTGCGACAACTCAGTTTAGCAGAGGTGGGGCGCTCTAATCCTATTACCCCACCCCAACTTGTATACTGAAATCTTTGCCCACGAATAAGTGACTATTCACGAGGTTATTTCAAACTAAATTTCCCTCCATTGAATGATAGCTATACGAAATTTCTAACTTACTAATGTTTACCTATCCAGTATCAAAACGTGGAGAGTACGTGTAAAATTGACCGCCAAGAATACACTAAAATAACTCTGTAAATCAACTTTAGACGTGTGCACTAGTTGTACTGGGAAGTCACTTTGCTTATTTGGCACAAATTTGTTTTGTGCGTACTTTTACTTTCAAATTGTACATGTAGTGAGCTGAAATGGAAATTATTGTTGACACTGGTTTCACTCCGATCAACATCTAACCTAGGATTCAAGTCAGAGAAGTCAAAGGATTTGCATTGTTTAGTTTGTAAAGTTTTCAATAACTTTGATCAGAAGAAAAGCCTGGACTTTTTTTGCACATAGATATCATCGATTACCTTGAGACCACATAGTGGGTATTGCGCAATGAAGGTATTTCAAGCCAAATGCTTTTTTACGTCAACACCTTATTAGGAGATTGCAAATATCAAATCACCCCAAACAAATCGGTGCAGGATGGAGGCGAGCATTAAGTTCACGTGATGTTGACGCCATTTTTGTGTGTGTGGATTTCAACCAGGATATTGTACCCGGATCAAAGAATTATTCATGCTGTTTAGCCTGCAAATCATTCACGGTTGCAAATTCACTGTTATTTTCATTATTATTGATATCTTGTTTTAGGTTATTTACTAAAAAATCGTGTGACCTTTGTGACGCAGTACACTTAGTTTTTGATTTGTATATGATTGAAAAGCAGACCCTCACTTGAGGAAGTACTATGGAGATGTAGAAAGTGTTAGGACTATTTCCGAGCATATTGACTTACTTGAAAAACAGTTCTTTTTAATTAAAAAATCTTGAGGTTTCAGGTGAAACAAAACAAAACAATGTGAAACAGTTGGGTGTGATTCCTTTTTCACGAGACAGCTGTTGCCGAACTATATTTGAAAACACAGGCGATTCACGGTAGAGTGCACCACTCACATGTCATTTTCAACATGGCCGATTAGCTGTGATTGAAAGATTGGGGCATTCCGTGCAGTGGTTGTTTTTCAGTGGAATAAGTAAAGGAATACTCAGAAAGTTGTTGTCGTGTGGAGGGAATAAATCAACATCAACAATATTTTTTTCTACCGTGAATCTGGAGTGTTGACGTTTCAGCCTCTCTTGATGTTCTGTTCAGCAGAGATGCGTCTGGTGGTCTTGGGTCGCAGTAATCCTCGGCTCTGCGCGCGAGTTAGGCCCGTATATCAAGATTCTGGAGTCTGCTACATGTACTTATGAAAATGCTTTAAAAAAAGAAAGGGGGAGGCCTACTTCCACTTTCAGCGGAGACCAATTTAGTAGAAATGATATTCAAGAAGTAAAATACATAACTGGGTCTACTTTTCTAAACAATATTATGGGTTGAAATTTTGATAATGCGTTGGAGGATTATTTCACAGGCGGAAAAGATTGATTTGTTAATGCCAACCGTCACTGTTATTGGGTAGCCTCTTTCAGCTAAGCACTAAAATGTGTATATTTGTCTTTGAATATTTCTGTTCTTTTACAAGTAATTAAAAGCAACGGCAGTGCATTTGGGGCCCACTGTAGATCAACCAATATTTTGAATAAAGGCAATTGTTAATTTCCGGCACAATTAGTGTATGGAAGGGTGCCAACAGTGTGATGAATAACACACAGAGAGCTGTTGCCGCCATCTTGGCGTTTGCAGCAAGAATTATCCACTGTGATGAATTTGTTGTAAAAGATTCTTTGGCAGAATCAACAGCATCAGCAATACTGACAACTATTTATATTCCTTGGTGAATGCTTTTATTTATACCTGATGTCCTATTGGGATGACATTGGACAGATAAAATGGACTTGACTGGATAAAATAATAAACACAAAAATGATCTTTTTAATCACAAAATACTCATCTTCTTTCAAGCTTCTGAGAGTTCAATGAGGCTTCAACGAACATGTAAAGTTGGGTTATTCATCTGAAGCAAATTATTTGATTCAGTACAGAGTACAGAACCAGTTAATGCGACACCGTCTGCCTGACATGACTTTACGAATGGATATTCCTTGAAAGAAATTTTTAAATAAAGGGAATAAATTGTTGCCGACCAAAGCCAGTAAGTGACTTTTGTGTTCTCGACAACTTGTGACAAAACTAATTTCAGCATAAAAGGTGCTCTAATCTCGAACAGATATCTGTGATTAATCGATTTTTTTCATTATCCCACCCACACTTTTACACTAGAATCTTTGCCTTCGAATAGGCTCGCGAGGCAATATCAAAATTAAATTAGCTACTACTTTTCGCCCGCATTTGAAAGTGGCAACAGTTTACTTATCCTGCAGCGAAACATTACGGACAGAACATGTAAAAGAGTTAAGAAGAACACATAGGTAGCTCTGTAACCAGCTTTGGACACGTGCAATTGTCTTGTTTCTTTTGCATAAATTTGTTCTGTTCATAGTTTCACTTACAAATTATACTTCTATAGAGCAAAAAGCAATATTATTGTCCGCACTGGTTTCACTTCGATTCACATCTAACCTTGGGATTGCTTTTGTTTAATGGAGAAAGCTATGCATTACCATTGCCATTTTGCCGGAAGTTTATACTCTACACAAATTTGTTTGTATAATCCAATTATGCACTCCAATCGTTGGCTTACCGAACAATTGCATAACTTGTAGGATAATATTCAGCCTGTTAGCATGAGAACACACCTACTACATAGGAGTGTTTTACAGGATTTTGAAATATATGTATGCATTTACATACAAGGTAGAATTGAGTAGTGCCATTGACAAAGTTCATTTACAATACTATGCAAAATTATTTCAATACTGGAGTGTTCTTTTAAAATTATTCCATACACAAACAGTTTGAATTGGTTTCATCAGTTATTTTTATAATGAAGACCGCACACAGTGTAATTTCAATGACTTTTCCTTCTGCTATATTCAGTCAGAGAGATTAAAGGATCTACGTTGTTAAGTTTTCAGTTTGTAACATTATCAATCATTTTTCATCAGGAAATATTTTTCCCCACTCCTATCGCTATGTTGGCTCATATGTGTACACAGATATCATCGATGTTGTCTCAATCCTCGTCAGCAGAGAAAATATTAATTAATGTTTCCCTTTCTCCGCCAGGGGTAACCAGCCCCATGATAAACGATATCGCAGTAATTTTAACAAAACAACTTTTTCAGCTGAGGGAGAGGTTGACATTTTAATCTCGAACCGACACCCGCGTTCGATAATCGCGAACCACAGGAATTTCCTCGTACACGTCCTCTTCAGAAGGCACTTGGCTTTCCTGATTTGGAAAATAAGGAAAAAAGGTCCTTTGAATGCTTCCGAAAACATTCCTCCTTTTTCTTTTAGTTGATGACGTTTACCATACATATTATAATTGTGGAGCTAGACTTTTGATTCCGTGACCCCCAACATGGCCCTGAGCGTTTACGTCTTCAGCAATTTTGACGGTCCGCATATTTATAAGTTTCTTTGTTGTGCCTTAATATATTATTGAAACAGCCCAGAAACCCAGACATGTCATGTGCATGGCCAGGGAGAGTGGCAATGGATTTCGTCCATGATGAACTGTACAAGAAGTTTAATCTTGTTTGAATGATTCCCGATTTTTCGACCAGATGCATCATCCGTGTATTTGGATCGCCTGCGGTTAATTGTGCAACGCCTTGCGTTTGAAAGTCGGGGCCGTATTATATGCATTCATACTACGATTGTCCAAAGATAGAGTAAGGGGAAATCCCCGATGACTGGACAGTCACGGACGTGCAGACGCTCCTCCTCGCAAGCAACGGCTTCGGTCATGGCATGAGAGAGTCATGCTGCATTATAACAAAGATTTGTTCAAGAGTGTCAAACATAAATGGTGCACGACTGTCTTTTCGCATTCTCACCTCGCTTTGGGAGGATGGACGATGAGATGACGTTGCTTCTAGGGATGGTTGACGGAGCTTAGATTTCTTGAGCCACTTCCGAGCAGTCACCATGACAACGCACATCAACACAATCAGCGATGGAGGAATGCAGGCAGCCATCGCCAATTTCTTCAGATTTTCTTGTAAAGTAGATGTAGTTATAGGCATTTTTATTTAGAGTCAATTAAATTCGGAAAGAAAGTTATCATTACCTCCACAACGCTACTCCCGAAAACATGTCAGAGCAAATCTAATTGTTTGATTTTTCTTCTTAGATTTTTTTCTGAGGTTTGTTCGTTGTTTTTGTTTTAACCTTTTTTGGTGGGTCCAACCATTTAAAAAAATGTAGAATGCACTTCGTTTGATGAATTGCTCATCAATTGACGCTTACCAGGCTCATCCGTGACCTGTAATTTCATGACAATCTCTGTAAACATCGTAGTGTCATCAGGAAACATCACTCTACACACGATGCTGCTATGGTGGTCCTCAGGGAGTATCTGCAGGTGGAATTGACTCGATGTCTTCCAGTCCCTGTTCTCATCCTGGCCTGACTGACTCCGATCTGCCGGTATCTCTCTGTGCTCCATTCCCCATCGGCCTGTCGTGTTGATTGACCACCTGATAATGCTGGCTGGATTCGAACCAGACGCGTTGCAGGTGAATCGGTAGTGGTGACCGATTGTGACATCCGCGCTGCAGTTGGTTTCGCTATCACAGGAGTGGGTGGAGTTTATATCCAGCGTCACGCTGTTCGGTGGATCTGAGATTATAACCACGAATTGGGGGAAGTCCAACCTATAAAAGAAACTTACGGAATTACAAATTGTTCCATTGATTTCTATTTGGTACTTACCCGCTTCATCCATGACCTGAAGTTGCAGGACAATCTGCTTGAACACGGCTGCGTGATCAGGAAACATCACTCTACACACGATGCTGCTACGGTGGTCCTCAGGGAGTATTTGAAGGTGGATTTGACTGGATGTCTCCCAGTTCCTGTTCTCATCCTGGCCTGACTGACTCCAATCCGCCGGTATCTCTCTGTGTTCCATTCCCCATCGGCCTGTCGTGTTAATCAGCCACGTGATGGTACTGGCTGGATTCGAACCAGACGCGTAGCAGGTGAATCGGTAGTGACGACCGATCGCCACATCTGCGCTGCAGTCCGTGTCGCTCTCACAGGACTGGGTGGAATTTACATCCAAGGTCATGCTGTTCGGCCGATCTGAAATTATAGCCCCGAATAAAATGTTTCGAGATCATGACCACATGAAACAGTCATCCAATGGAATCCCTAAACTACATAGTGTAGTGTCCTATTTGTTATCACATACTTGTAAAGGGATTCTTGTAATGTCTGTTAATCCCAATTTGCTTTCACTTCCAATTTCAATCAAACGACTCGTAATTAAATTCAGCTCGAGTATCGGAAGAGAAAGGACAGCGGATGCTTGCATATTGTGAAAAATAATTTGGCTGCTCTTCGTTGCAATGGAAATGTTGTCTTGTTCATTGTGTTCATTGAGTACCAAAGGGATGATTGCCAGAGTTTCATTAAGTATTTCACCGTGTCCGGAGCTTTGAAAATGTACACGCTGCTGAATGTTATCTTGCAGTCAGCTTCCCTGCTGGCCCACTGCCTTTCGATGGCTGCCTCTCTAGCTTGGATCTGTGTAACTAGGTGTTCTCCCTTTTCTAACCTTCTATTTGTCTGCTTCCTTAGGCAGAGTTAGTGATGAATTAATGCATTGATTCGATTGATTGGTTGATAGTTCGCTTTGCTTGGCCTTGTATTGCTTGATCGATCGAATGATTACTTTTACCGACAGACTGGTTGGTTGGTTGATCCACTCAATACGTAATGACACATTAACAATATGCATCGTAGTCACAACAAGCCACTTACTGAAATTGTCTGTTACTCGCATTGTCATGACAATATCTCTGAACACCGTAGTGTCGTCAGGAAACATCACTCTGCACACAATGCTGCTATGGTGGTCCTCAGGGAATATCTGAAGGTTGATTTGACTCAAGGTATTCCAGTGCATGCTCTCGTCCTGGCCTGATTGGTTCCAGTCAGCAGGTAATTCAGTCTGTTGCATCCCCCGTATGCCCTTTGTGTTGATCAGCCACGTGATTTGACGGGCTGGATTCGAACTAGACGCATTGCAGGCGAATTGGTAGTGACGACCGATCGTTACATCTGCGCTGCAGTCTGTGTCGCTATCACAGAAGTGGGTGGAATTCACGTTCAGGGCCTCGTAGTTAGGCTGATCTAAAATTATAATTTTCACAGTAAGTCTTGAGAAGAAGTCTACTCTGATGAAATAGATTTTTTTTTTACATGTGGAGAGATTCAGTGTAATGTGTTTAATTTGAATTGCCATGAGTTGTACGATTGCTTTCCTCCCTTGTCCTTTTCTTTCCTTTTCTCCATTTTTAATCTTTAGTTTCAAATAGTTTTGCTATGGGGATTGCTAAAAGGTTAGTCGTCCGAACCCATAAGGAGACTGAATCAATTTCCAAACTTACACCTTGCATGCAGTGCCACAGTTGCATTGCGTACAATAGGATACACATTACACATCGACCTGCAGCCCGTATTCATTCTGTCCTGCAGTGTTCGTCGACTTTCTGCCGTAAAAGCAGGGACCGGTCTGGACATCTGTTTTCCACCAAGAAACCAAGACGCTTTACTAGTCCTGTAGTGGTCGCCTTTTACCGTACTCTTGAAGTGTTTTTCTCGTCCTGGTGTTTTGTACTGGCTTCTCCTGGACACCTCCTGCGAATAAACTGTACATTACCGGGGAGTTACGTTCTTTGGACGGTGTAACACTGCCCGCCTCCCATCAATGCGACTTGGGTCCATCTTTCATCCTCATCGCGATGGATAACCTTTATTTCTAACAGTTTCCTTAGAAATGAAGAAATGTTTCTCACCCGTAAAAGGCAAGCCTTTACGTACATTTTCTTTTCTCTGTTTTAATTTCAAGTACTTGCTGAAAATCAGAAATGTTTGGAAAACAACCAAGCTCACATTTCTACCATACAGACAAGGATTTTTTACATCTGTAATAAGGTATCTTGCGTGACTATAACATGACTGTAGATGATGTAATTTTTTTAAATAGTTTTTATATTCGATTAAACGAATTTCAGTGCTTTAGAGGCTCGTGGTATAATCTCACTTGTTACATTAATAACGCTCAAAACATAATTTACCACCTCCGATGAAACGGTAAAAGCGTATCTTACTGCAAAGACAAAGTATGTGCAGTGTTTGATCATGAAAGTCCAGTGTCAAACTATTTTTGTATGCTAAGTTCTCAAAACGTTTGAACAATTCAAATGTGCATTGTCACAATTTACACGACATACCGAGACTCATGCTTCATGTATTTATGACAGTTTAAGCCTGTTTCCCTCCGAGATGTTTCAGAGGAGTCTTTCTTCATGATGAGAAAAAAAAAATAGATTTCCCCTTTACTGAAAGTATGTAACAGACTGAATAAGTTAATCGTTATTTTACTCTAGCCAGAGTCTGAACATTGTAACATTGGAAGGGTCCCCCAAACAGATAGACGAATCAGTTATTCATTGCCAATCTTGCTCTCAGCTGGTATTTTTAGCAGCCACTTAAATTTGTGATTTGTGAATAAACTGGCACCTCGAATAATTCCCGCTAACAATTACTTACCCCTGCATAATCCATGGAAGGTGAATGCTATCATTAAGACGACGGATACAGATTTTGCGGCCATTCTGGAGAGGAGCTTCTCTTGCAGCAGGAAATAAGGCTACCTTCGCTTTCCAAATCTCATTTTGATTTTATCAATTCATTCCCTGCCTTACATTGCAGAGTTCAATGTCTCTGACAGTATCGGTTTCACTTGTTGACCCATATGATTTTCATGAGTGCTTTTGTTATTTACCGGTACTATAGTGGAATACTCTCACCTTTGACACAGTATAAGTATCATAGACTTGCATATATTGTAGACGCAGGTTTCGGAAAAATTGTTCGCCTGCCCAGTACAATTTCATGCTGGGCACAATTGGAAGCGGTTAATTATAGATTTAAAATAGACTTACAATGCCCGGGTTTAAGAAGAGTTTATATGTCAATACAATTCCATTTTAATAGAAAAGCTATTGCAGAAGTCTTTTTTTTTAACTAAAACTTAAAGTCTTTTTTTTTTAAATTAAAACTTAAAATCCACTTTTCATAGCCTCTCTCTTTTAGAAAAATATTGATGTATTGAAGCTTAAATAGTTTATACATAAAGGATTGTTCAGTAAAGATAAACGTTCAGCGCATGTACTTCTAACTTGCAATATGAATCTCTACGATTTGGAGGAAATGCATCGTTCTTCATTATCAGTCCTATCAGCAGGATGTCGTTTCGGTTGTTACTTTTTCCCTTGTTTACACCAATATCGTCAAAGATGTTATGGTAATTG